TTAAAAATAAATTGGTAGAAGTTATTAGTTTTTATGAATAAAAACTCGTTCGTTCTTAACATCTAGCGCAACTACTAAATCGAGAATACAAGCATTGATTTGTTTTTCAAAGGACAATTTTTTTTTATTTTTTAATGGGTGATAATGGAATGGTAACCCGCCCGCGCTATCGGTATACACTGGCGGGGCACCAATGAAGGATGATAGGTGAGAATGAAGCAGGTCAGTTAGCCCATCGTGACGAAATCAACAAGAATTGTGTTTCTAGGGGGAACCACGTGGCGGTCGATTAATAGGACATATTGCTAGCAATGGAGTTGTCAAACTCTATTGCTAACAATCCCTTTCCCCCCGTCAAAAGACAGTTGTCTATTAAATCCCTCTGAACGTACCTGGCGGAAGCGGATAAGACAAAGTGCGTATAGCGATAAACATTCTGGGATCACAGCGGATATAATTAAGCATGGATTCGTGTAATGCCGAGATTAAATCGAATTTACGAGATTCCGATCTGATTAATGTGGATAATCGTGGTGAAGAGAATTACGACGTTACAAAGCTCAGGCTCAGGCTTTTATCAGATTCTAAATAATAATGCAATCTTTCTTTAATTATTATTTAAATTGCTTTAATTAAAAGTGGGCAATATATAGAAATACCTATATATTGTATTTTTTTATACAACTTAGAATGGCAAACAAGCTGACAGCCCACCTGAAGGAAAGTGGTAACCGTTGCCTATAGACATGAGCAGTACCATGGACATAACAGAGTAGACTGTTTCGTCCATGATACCCCCCATGCGTTGCCATTCCTGAGGACTCAGATGTTATTCCTCTATAACCTGTAAATTCACAGTCATATCGCACCCTTCAAACCGAAACACAGCCATGCCAACACAACTGCTTCACGGTAGAAACACGAATGGGACAGAGGTACCCAAGCAACTTTTGTACAAAGTCTTCCTCTGGTAAAATCATTCGATTATGCAAACTAAGCAGTAATAAAATTTCATTCGTATTTTACACAAAGATAATTAGCTTAAAATTCTACCAACTATTGCGTCCTTAATCCAATTTCGCCGCCGAAATGAGGTCAACTCAACTTTGGGTAAGTGTCGTGTAATTCGTAAAGATGTCGTAAAAGATCCATAAATTGTATATAATTAATTAGGATCCCACTAATGTAATTATTTCATTGCCATTCCTCATTAAAGGTTAATTACAAACATGTCTGCTCTTGATATACGCAATAATTGTTTTAACTTGTAGATAAATGATAAAATCCATTTATTACTTTTACGGCTAGACGTTCGAACTGTTTAGGTGAAATTTGAAATAGAATAATTACTAGCTATATTCCGCGGCTTTCCTCGCATGTATTAAATATATTTTACGTGTCAAATAAGGGACAAATAAATCTGTCAGTGGAAAGAACAAGACATTATTAATAATGGGGATTTTTTTTTAATGGGTGATAATGGAATGGTAACCCCACCCGCGCTATCGGTATACACCGGCGGGACACCAGTGAAGAATGATAGGTGAAAATGAAGCAGGTCAGTTAGCCCATCGTGACGAACTCAACAACAATTGTTCACGATTTCCAGGGGGAACCACGTGGTAGTCGACCTAATAGGGCATATTGCTAGCAATGGGGCTGTCAAACTCCATTACTAACAATCCCTTTCCCCCTAAGATTAGTAATGGGGATTAGCTATCTCATTGCAGGCAGAAAGATTTTAAGTGAATACTCTCTGATTCCCTTTAAGTACCGGCCTAATGTTATTATTCCCTTAAAATAAGGTTTAAAATATATTCTTAAATAAGGCGCAGGTGTTTTACCGATATCTCGTAACTATTCAATGTAAAATGCGTGGAAACTTCACTCGTTTACCTTTCAATTGGATCTATACAATTTATCGTAGTAACTTACTTTCCTATCGATTTATCCAAATCATTATACGTTCCAATTCGTTTGCTTTGTGAGACCTCAATTTTATACCATTTTCAATACCTTTACATTATTCCGGTTTGAACTAGGCATGGATTTGTTAAATCAATCTACTGTTATTAACTCTATTTTTTATACACCTTAGAATGGCAAACAAGCTGACGGCCCACCTGATGGAAAGTGGTAACCGTCGCCTATAAACATGAGCAGTACCATGAACATAACAGAGTATATAACGGGTGACTGGTAGAAAATACCATCAGGCATTAAATGTGCCTTGTAAACATGTGTGCATAAGTATAAAGTGCAAAAGATGTCACTTATTGGCGGGAGCACCAAGATACCAGCTCGAATCCTTCGACTAGAGCTATGCGAATTATCGATGATCCCAGGCTTACAAGCGGTATCGAAGTCTTAGGAGAGATTTTGCCTCACACTGCGTGTTATACCGCTTGTACAACGGATGGTGCTCAGAGGAATTGTTCAGTAAGATGCCCATGGCCACTTTCTATCATCGTACGGCTCGCCATCGACAGGGAGTTCACCATCATATCCTATCATATATATCATATCATCATATCACAGCTCTAGATGATCTATACCACCTGCACCATCAGGTGGGCAGTATGCTTGTTTGCCACCTGAGTGATATAAAAAAAATATATTATATTTTTCTATAACAAGTAGCGAAGATGAAAAGAATCGTACTGGTCTGATATCTATGTATAGGATTCCATAGAATTTAATTGCTATAAAGCCATCACCCATTTCGATATCGCCCACATTTACCTGATATATATATATATATATATATATATATATATATATATATATATATATATATATATATATATATATAGTAACATAGTACTACAATTCGGGCTGTTTCGGTGGACATTGGAACCTGCATGTTCTAGAAACGTGACTTAGATACATCCAGAGTTACGTGACATGATTTGAGATACCTACCTGTTAGTGCAATGAATTGCATAACGACCGCCAACCTAACCGTAACAATAGATATTGGTGGTTTCATCGTTTTACTACAAAAGGTAACTCATTTGTAATTCTATCTATATAAACAGTTTATAACAAAACTCTATCTAGTGTCTAAGAGGTTATAGTATTTTTTAACTCGAACCACTGCTGAACATAAGTCTCCCCCTTGAGGACTTTTGCCAGTATTTGCCACACTTTTGGCAACTACTAGGCCCTGACAACTGCAGTTAGGCTCTAAAGATATTTTAAGAGGGACGCTGCTGCCCATTCCTTGCCTTTCCTTTGTCGCTTCTTACGACACCCACGGGAAAGGAATGGATGACCTATTTTACGCACACACACGCCATCATTATAATAAAATACATACCATCTATGGTATTGCTCATGTCTATAGGCGATGGTTATCACTTTCCATCAGGTGGGCCGTCAGCTTTTTTTGGATGGCAGCTTCACCTCATCAAAGTGGCGATGGAACTGTACGTCACTGGAGATGTCGACAGTAAAGCCGTAACGAAAGATGGAGTCACGAGCTATTGTTACGAGAAAACGATTAAAAGAAAGAAAGATAACAATGTAGACCATTATGGACACAAATCTCTTTATGACCACAACCATGAATCATGAAAGCACCTCGATAAATTAATTCGGGACAATGTAAGTTCACCGTTGCGAGGTTCGGGCAGAATGCCAAAAAAATATGTAGTGTCTCTTTTATTTTTCGAGCTCTTCCTTCTACGAGCTCGACAATATAGAGTGAAATATAAATGATTAATAACATTTTTAGGGTATTCCACTAGTAAAACTGAAACAAAGAATAATTAATGGATTGTCATTAATATGTACAACGCATCCAGCTGTTTTGCTTAAAATTTTGATGAATTTAGAGGAAGCAAAAAAATAAGTATATACGTATGGATTACTTAATGGTCGAGGAATGCAAATCAGCTTCCCTCTTGGAGCATGAAAGAAGCTTAAATGCGATTGCCAACCCACCTGATAAGTATTGCAACTATCGCTAGTACTGGCACTGGTTAAACTCTTCTTACAGGGAATGCCTATGTGTCAGTAGATAGCTAAATACAACAATAAACAGACTTCAAATATGGCAAAATCAGTTATTTTACTTTAGCAACTACTGAAACTGATTTTAATAAAAATTTTATAAGACCAATATAAAATTATATATTTTCAGATATATAAATAACTGATTTAACGAACTATTACTAATCGAATTTCGGAGTTTTTAAATAATAAGCCAAAAAGAATACAACCATATATATAGAACCTCATCCATTTCTTAAGTCTGTTAGAAATAACACTTACAATAGGAATTTATCATTCGATTATTATAGTATGGCATCGCAGTGTCAAAATATCCATTTTGCTTACGAGATTAATTGTAAAATATACTGGCTTATATACTTTATTAATATGAAAAAACACACTTTCAATTACAAGTGAACACTTAAAATTATTTGCAATATTTTACAATAAGAACTTGTTAAAAATACAGCATAATGGAATTTTTATTACTTATTTACAGTCTGAAACCATAAATAATAACTTTGTGTAGCACACTCGTGAGTTATTTCAATTAGGATCCGATAAAAGCCGCCATTCCGTAGACCACTTTGCGTCGACTTTAATCTCTGCCAAAGCACTTCACATACAATTGTTTTGACTGGACGGGCTTGTAGTCTCATGAAATTTATCCAACAATACATAAATATGGTTTATTTGGGTTATATGCCTCACTTGTTTATGTATCAAATCTTTTACGGGTTCATATAAAGTGCCAATATGACGGCCCTGCGTGTAATTTCAGACCCCACTACACGTATTCTCTGAACTGATGTTTTACAACTAAAGCAATAAAATTCAAAACTTAAACTTTATCTAGTATTCGTGTCACTTTTTTATTTTAAATTACATTAGTAGTAAACTAACTCATAACTATTAAACAAAGTTTTTTAAAAATGCAAACTAAACAACAAATAAAGTAGACTTCGATGGTACGGTCATATGATGAGAAGGGATGATAGCTACTTGATAAAAAACTGTCATGAATATCTTTACAAAATGTCGGGGAAAAGGAAGACCTCTCGCTAAATGGTGATCCAATATCCAATAACCAAAAAGTACTAGGATTAAGGATTGAAAGAAGAAGCAAATTAAACAGCACGTTTAAGAAATCATTCATAATAATATAAAAACTTCCTTTACAATGGCACGTAATTTTCTAAAAAGATTATCATTTTACAGACTTTCTTTTACAGACTGCAGGTATCAACTACAAAATATTTGATGTTAAATTTCGTATTCTTGTAACAGAAATTACATTAAATTTCTTAATCTTTAAACAAAAAATAATATCGAATTTACATAATATATTACGAAGACAAATATACATGCAATACATTTTACACATATCTTTAATGAGCAAATTAATGAAACATTATTGTAAAAGAGGTAATTGTCTATTTGGTGAAATGATAAATAATAAAGTATATATTATAAAATATCCATTTAATAATGATTCGTTGATTACTTTTTTCATATTGACATGTTACATCATTTATTTATATTATGTTCCAATCCATTAAATAGCTCCATTGTTTATTTACTTTTATTACCTTTTATTTTTAAATAATTTATTTTGTTATCTTCCTTTATAAAGTCTGCTGCTTTTTCTCCAATCATTATAATTGGAGCGTTAATATTTCCAGCAGTCATAGTAGGTATGACACTCCCATCCGCTACTCGTAGCTTTTTCACTCCGCGTACCCTCAGTCTCCCATCAACGACTAATCCCATTGAACAAGTACCTATGTAGTGAAATATTGTTGTTGACATGCTAAGCACATGGCATTTCCAGTATTCTTTACTACCCGGTTCAAAGTTAGTGCAACTTGGTGACACCAAAAACTTTGCATCGACCTCTTTGAAAAAGCTTGAATTCATAATGCAGTTGGCATGCTCTGTATAAATTGCAGCATTTTCCAAATCCACAGAATTAGAAAAGAATCCGGAGTGAATTAATGGATAATCTTTTGGATTAGAACTTTGCAATAAAATCTTACCACGAGATTTCGGGTATAGATCTATAGTCTGTGAAAACAATACCTCTCTTCCTTTAGCATTTTGATAGTAATTATCGCATATGCTGTCTTTAAAAGCGACACTAAATACACAACTTGACAAAAATGTATCGTGATCCATAATGGTATTAATAGACTGGTAATCCGGGACTAATTTAGATTTGTTCAAACTTACAAACCCATTAAAAGTAGGGAATGTATTAAAGAAGTTTGTACGTTTCGGTGCATCCTCTATTTTTTTCGTTGCATAAACTGAAATAACAGAAACTTGGTCATGGAAGTTTTCCCCTACAGGAAGGCTGGAAATTACTTTAATACCTAAATCTTCGAGATGTTTCTTAGGTCCAATACCTGAGAGCATAAGTAACTGTGGAGAATTTATGGCTCCGGCTGATATTATAATTTCCCTATTTGCTTTAAAGTTAGAAGTCTTGTCATTTTCATTTATAGCATCAACACTTACAGCATTATTATCGTTATCAAAGTTAATTTTAGTGACTAAAGTATTTTTTAGAACATACAAATTAGAACGGTCTTTGATTTTTGAGAGAAAACTTTTAGCTGTGCTTTGTCTATGACCATCTGCCATTGTAAGTAGAGGTTCCGTAAAACCGAGAGTATTATTCGAGTTTATATCTGAAACTACATTGAATCCGAGTTCTTTAAACACTTTCAAGTAATCTTTAGTTTTCTCATTATATTGCTTAGTGACTTTTAGATAACCAGTACGTCCATGAAAATCTCCAGAAGGTGATTTCAATAGAATAGGATCTTCAAGTTTTTCACTTTTAATAAAATATTCTAGAACGTTTTCATATCTCCATGTTGTATCATTTACTATGTCTGTCCAGGTATTAAAATCCTGTGGAACACCTCTGTTATAAAACATATAATTGTTACTACTACTTCCACCCAGCATTTTGCCTCGAGTTAAATCAGTAACACTATTTTTATGTGATTGTTGCGAATATCCATCGTCTACTGAAGTATAATTCCAGTCAACTGATGTATGTTTCAAATATCCTACTAGGCCCGGGATCTGAAATAGTTATTATAATATTACTAATAAAAACATGATAATGATTTTCATGCTGTGTGGTCCCGGCATAGAATAGGCCACCCCTTCCTTTCCCGTGGGTGTCGTAAGAATCGACTAAGGGAGAGCAAGGGATGGGAAGCAGCGTCCCTCTTAAAACATCTCTAAAGGATTACTGCTGTTGCCAATCCAATAAATTCCGGTTTTTAAAAATTTACATTCTCGTATCAGAACAGGTATGTATTTTTCCTACTTACTTAATTAGAATTATTGAATTTCCATGGTATAAGTATGTATATTAGAAAACAATATATTTCTATGGCATGTCATGCATCTATCGCATTAGAAATATAGTGTCTCCCTCCATAAAAAAGGAACCATTGCAGCCACACAACTTTCATAAGGTTTTATTTTTATAATCTTACACTTGGGTATTGTTATTTATTCACCCTATAATCTCTTATGACTGCAGCAATACTAGAGATGTAAAAATAGTTGTAAACATATTTTATTACTCTATCAATACATGAAAAACCTTTTTTCGTCACTCCGAAAAGCAAGAAATGTGTACTAACGTCTGATTCAATGGGTGGATCGCCTCCAGCTTCGACCAATAAAACTTTTATATCTGGATCTTCTGTTAGCCTGGTGGCAATAACACAGCCTGCTGACCCTGCTCCAACTATAATGTAATCGAACACGTCGCCATCTGACGACATTAAAACATTCATATAATTATCTCCTATATCAAAAGAATTAGACAAAAAATAGAATAAAAAAAATATTACTATTAGAATTCATTAGACATTAGGAGAAGAAAATTCAGGAGGCCTTAGAACCTTACATAAGAAGAAGCCAACCACCAGGAATCACTCCAGCGAGCCTAAGGCGGTCGCCTCGAGGATAATTCCGAGGCAAAGGGGCACCCAGAGGCTCCCACTTGAGCCCTTTCGAGGGCTAGCAAGACCTACGTAACGTCTTATTTCAACTTTTTATATATCGTATTTATTTTTAAAATCTAGTACATTAGAAGAGATTACCGTGGCTATAAAAATAAAAATAAAAAGATTATATGTGAATTTAAAATGTAAAAGTGCATGTATACATATGTCATTCCATTTTCCCTAAAGAAAGACAATAATCAATTATAATACAATTAATTTAAAACCAAAACAACGATATCTCTATTGCAAAATTTTAAAATTATCCGCATTTGTTACATTTAAATAAATATATATAATATTTACAGGGATTTATAATTTATAACTAACTGTTGAGTTTCTTTTAGCTTCTACTCAACAGAATACAAAAATATCTCAGTAAAATCATAAAAAAAATACATTTGAAAGTATATGAAAGCTTAAAGTTAAATAAAGTTTATATTGACTTTGAATTTTAAACGTAGACACAAAAAATGGTCACGAATTTAGAATGTTTTTTTCCTACTTTCATTTCAGAGTTCCATCAATTTTACTTACCATTTACAACAGCTTGCTGTGGATACAGGAACGATGTAAGGTGCAAGGTTGTGGCCAAAACTTGAAACGCGTTTTGTGTCCATTGTATATTAGACACTGTCGCTGCAGCATCCATTCCACTTCAGTGTAGTTTGAACAACTTCTCCACAATGACGCGTTTCGTTCAAGTTCCCTATAACCGTGAAATGTATTGTCCCAAGATGTTACAATGTAAATCTCGGGGTCTACCATAAAATGAAATTGCGAATTTTCTAACTCAATTTCTTATTTATTTATATGCTTTTGTACATTCTTATATAGTATAGATATTAGGTTATAACAAAAATGTACACGGACTTGTCCCTTAAAGGGATTTCTTCATATTCATATTTATTTTTAATTATGGTAAATTAAGTTTAATTATATGTACATTTTATTTGCTCATTTTTTTTTCTCGTTTGTTGTTTATATTGTATTTTTTACATTGCACTGAATAAAATATTTTTCTTTCTTTCTTTCTTTCTTTCTTCCAGTCAACCTTGGGAAACCGAAAGGAGAAAGAGCCTATAGAGTTTGTGTATACAGCATAACATATATGATGCAAAAATAATATAATAGTGACAGAGTATGGATAAATAAAATTATAAATATATACAAATTAATATAAACATATATAAAAATAGCGAAATATATATTATATAAACATAGAATAACCATTATACATGTTAGTAACTCAACTGTCAATTGTATTATAAAATCTTTTTGTTTGAGCTTTGAAGGCATGGACGTTCTGCGTCATTCTGGCATCATTTGGGTGGGAATTCTAAAGTCTAGCAGCTTGCTGTAAAGGATTTGGTGTAGACGTGGGAATTGTGAATAGGTAATTCCAATGTATGATGTTTTAGACGACGCGCACGGGGATTGGAGATTCTAAAGGAAAATTTCTCTCGGAGGTAATCCCAGATCAAATACTCAAACAAAATATCTTGTTTTTACTCGTACCAAAATCGGTCTAATAAATCGAGCTTAGCATTATCTTCATCATACATTCAACCATAAACGTTCAAAGGATTAATATTTTTAACATTTTTAATACATATTATGTAATTTTAACATGAAATTTGTGTTTCGTTTAGCGTCGAAATTTCGGAAGACATTTCATGGTAGACCTTCCGGTTCGGTCATCACGTGAATGTTGTTAGTGAGCCAAATGCGCCAATATCGTACAGAGAAATGTGAATACAATAAACACAGATTGCAGGGACTATTTTAGTACCAGTCTTTGTTTCATTGTAAAGAGATTAACTTATTAAAATTCTTACCTTACATTCAAGTGGCCTATTTGGTAATTGTCAAATTTCTACGCACTTCAAAGAGTCTCAATTCTTATTTTTTTTTTTATGTTTGTTACTAAACAGTACTACTACTTGTAACACCGTCAGTTGTAAACCGATTTGAATTTTTTTTTTTTTATTTTGAAAAGTTTTCTGTTTTTAAACGACTTCAAAAAGGTTTTCAATTCTGGAGGTTTGTATTTTTTTATGTTTGTTACCCCATAATTCCGTCGGTTCTATACCGATTTGGAACATTCATTGTTTATTTTGAAAAGATATAGATTGTTCCTATAGAAATTTGATCAAAATCTTTTCAATCATCTCGTTTTTAATTCAAAACAATAGATTTCGCCATAATTGAAATAGGTTTATTAAAGAAACAATTTAATTATATACATTTGAATATATTTGAAGTGTTTATAACATTTTTTTTTCATAACAAGCAGTTTATCGTAATGAAGAATCTTCATAGGCCTCCCCCATAGACTGCCATAAGGAACGGTCCTAAGCCACCTGCATCCACTAACTTCCTGCAATGCATTTAAGGACGTCACTTCATCTAATGAGAGTCGACATTCGCGCGTACGGGGCCATCACTCAGGAACCTTAGTGGTACGCGAATCCGAATGATTTTGTTATTCGAATAATTAGTAATTACTAATTTTATATTTCGACTACTAAATTAGTAATATACAAAATTTCGTATTCGAATGATATTACTAATTAGTAATAAGATGTACACCACTAATAATGAAAACAAATTTCTTATATCTGTATCCGCTAACTTAACAATAAGTGATAGAGAATGGATGACCAAAAATAAATAAAAAATAATAGTGAGTGTTTTTTTTTTACAACACAGAAGGTAAACGAGCATGCGGCTCACCTGGTGGTAAGTGACTACCGCCGCCCATGATCACCCACAATACTAACGGCATTGCAGGTGTGCCTTTTTAAAAGGAATATGCTCTTTTCTTGAAGGTTATGTTGTCGTATCGGTTCGTAAATACTGAATAGTGTATATAGTGAATGAAACCAGTAATCGAATCATTTTTTATTTTTATTTATTTAATACAAAAAATTACAGCTCTTAAAAAAAACAACTTACAGGCTAAGTCATGCTATGCTAATACAGCTAATAACAGATTTTAATTATACAAACGAAAATTATAAATCTAAAGCAAGGTAGGCAAATTAAATTGAGTGTATGCAAGTAATGTATGTATGAAAAAACTATGTATAACAATGAGTGTTCATAAGTAAGGTTAATTAATATACAAAATAAATAAAGTCCATGTTTCTACAGTTCAAATATTGACAGCAATGATTAAGTAATACAATTTCATGTAATTACAAAGAGGTATATTTGAAAATGATTCGAATAATTCGAATGAATTGCTCAGTCGAATAATTAGTAATCATATTAGTAAAGTTGCGCATCGCTAGTAATAAAAGTTGGAGACGAAATCAGCTCAAGGCCTCTAGACAAGTAGCAAGCGAATTCGTCGATGGAATCGACATCGCTAGCGAGTCCGTGAGATGGAATGAGTCACTCGGCGTTGCTATCTCATTTTATCTCACAGACTCGCTAGCGATATCGATTCCATCGACGAATTCGCTTGCCACTTGTCTAAAGGCCCAGTTGACCAATCCTGACGAATTTCACAAGAATTAACCATGACAGTTACCAAGCAGAACCGCGGGGGAAGGAATTATTAGTAATGGGGAGGTTAATCCCAATTGCTATCAATATACCCTGTCAGGTCGACCTCCACACGGTTCCCCCTGGAAACTATCGTGACTAACTTATTGTTGAATTCGTCATGATGGGCTAACTGACCTGCCATTTCATCCTCGCCTATCATCACTCACCCCGCCAGCGTATACCGGTAGCGCAGGCGGGGTAATGATGCCATTTTCATCCATTAAAAAAAAAGTAGAACCACGTGGAGGCTAGTCTAACAAAATATATTACGTACAAGCAGTGGGTACACTAGTCCCTGTTACAATAATTTCCCCCTTATCTACGGGAGATTGATTGTTTACTTGTCGACCTTTTGACATGGGAACATCTAGTGGTCAATGAAAGACTGAAGTGAGCGAAGGTAAGACTGAAGTTAGCGGCGTCCTCTTCTGGCAACAAAGTAATATTAAAATAAAATCTTGATAATTTATATCTTTTTAAATATTCAAGTTTTTTTTTTCAAAAATGGCTATTTAAAAGTAAAACAAACAATAATATTACATAGAATAAATTTATTACTGTTTTTTTTTTTTTATTATTATATAAAAGTATTTGAAAATCCCAATGTTAATGGTTTACATCGGGGTTTTCCCTTGAGCGTATAAAGAAGTTTATTTCAACGAATATTAAGCTTGAGCGCATTTTATTAGAGGCACTGTGTGTGATAGTTATATATATATATATATATATATATATATGTTAGGTCTATTATACTTATATTGTTAGTTCAATACTTAATAATACCTAATAAAAACACAGAAAGTTTAAAATTTGTACGAAAAAAAAGTTATGTTACTCATTTTATGTTTTTTCCTATTTATTTTGTTTGTACATATATTTGTGAGTTGTAAGTAATGCAAATAAATTATACTACATATCTATCTATCTGAATACATAAAAACATTTGGACAGACCGTACCTAATACATATTTACTGTCGACTAGTATGAGCATAATGAAGCATAACTGATCATACACGTGTAAAACAATAATACAATGGCCGACGCGACATCATTCAAGGAAATACCAGACTTTGTATAATGCTATTTGTTTAAGTACCTCTGTCTCATCCGTGTTTCAAACGTGAAGCAGTTGTGTTTGCATGGCTGTGTTTCGGTTTGAAGGGTGGGCGTATGGCGTGAATTTACAGGGTACAGAGGAATAACACCTGAGTACTCAGGAATGACAACGCATGGGAAGTATCATGGGCGAAACAGTATACTCTGTTATGTCCATAATACTGTTCATGTCTATAGGCGACGGTTTTTTAATGAGTGATAATGGAATGGTAACCCCACCTACGCTATCGATATACGCTGGCGAGGCACCAGTGAAGGGTGATAGGTGATGATGAAAGTAGTTCAGTTAGCCCATCGTGACGAATTCCACTAAAATTAACCAAGATAGTTTCTAGGTCTAGGTTCCACGTAGAGGTCGACCTGATAAGGTGTATTGCTGGTAATGGGTCAGTTAGATCCCATTACTAACAATCCCCTTCCCCCCTTTTATAGGCGATGGTTACCACTATCCATTAGGGGGGATTGTTAGTAATGCGATCTACCAGTCCCATTTCAAGCAGAATACTCGGTCAGGTCGACCTCCACGTGGTCCCCTGTGGAAACTACCGTACTGAATTCCTAGTGTATTCATCACGATAGACTCACTGCCTTTGCCTTTTCGTCTCAGTTTCTTGCCATCACATCTTTCATTGGTGCCCCGCCAGTGTATACCGTTAGCACAGGCACGTTTACTACTCCATTGCCATTCATTAGGTGGGCAGTCAGCTTATTTTCTATTCTAGGTTCCATAAAAAAAAATGTAAAATCATAATTAATTCTTTCTAAATAGTGTAAAACAATAGTCTTTCTGTTATTGCGTTTTTTTTATACGACTTAAAAATTAAATAAGCTGACGGCCCACCTGATGGAAAGTAGTAACCGTCGCCTATAGACATGAGCAGTTTCGTGGACATAACAGCGTATACTGTTTCGCCCATGATACTCCCCATGCGTTGCCATTCCTGAGGACTCAGGTGTTATTCCTCTATAGTAACAAAATAAACCAAATTGTAGACTGAAAATAAAAA